ATCATTGTTCTTGTCGTCACACACACAGCGTCATCATCATCATCATTGTTCTTGTCGTCATACACACAGCGTCATCATCACCATCATTGTTCTTGTCGTCACACACACAGCGTCATCATCACCATTGTTCTTGTCGTCACACACACAGCGTCATCGTCATCATTGTTCTTGTCACACACACACAGCGTCATCATCACCATCATTGTTCTTGTCGTCATACACAGCGTCATCATCACCATCATTGTTCTTGTCGTCACACACACAGCGTCATCATCATCATCATCATTGTTCTTGTCACACACACAGCGTCATCATCACCATCATTGTTCTTGTCGTCACACACACAGCGTCATCATCATTGTTCTTGTCGTCACACACAGTGTCATCATCACCATCATTGTTCTAGTCGTCACACACACAGCGTCATCATCACCATCATTGTTCTTGTCGTCACACACACAGCGTCATCATCACCATCATTGTTCTTGTCGTCACACACAGCGTCATCATCACCATCATTGTTCTTGTCGTCACACACAGCGTCATCGTCATCATCACCATCATTGTTCTTGTCGTCATACACACAGCGTCATCATCACCATCATTGTTCTTGTCACACACACAGCGTCATCATCACCATCATTGTTCTTGTCGTCATACACAGCGTCATCATCACCATCATTGTTCTTGTCGTCACACACAGCGTCATCATCACCATCATTGTTCTTGTCGTCACACACACAGCGTCATCATCACCATCATTGTTCTTGTCACACACACAGCGTCATCATCACCATCATTGTTCTTGTCGTCATACACAGCGTCATCATCACCATCATTGTTCTTGTCATCACACAGCGTCATCATCACCATCATTGAGGAGTGGTGGTCGTGGTTACTTATGCCCCCACCGAAAACGAACATCCATGGAGGGATGCAGGCAAAGCCGATGAGTCGGATGCCTTCTATGACCTCCTGTCACAGGTGCTGGCTAAAGTGGCACCTCGGGATAGAGTCATCTTGTTGGGTGACTTCATTGCCCGAGTTGGTCATGATGCTGGCACCTGGTCTGGAGTGATTGGAGGGCATGGGCCGGATCAGCTCAATAACAACGATAGGAGGCTGCTAGATTTTTGTGCAGCCCATGGGCTTGTAATTATCAACACGCTGTTCCGGCATCGGCGCATCCACACAACATCATGGATGCATGCCGGGTCCAAGCAAGAACATCTGCTGGACTACATAGTGATGGACCAGTGGATGCGAGCCCATGTCCTTGACACCAGGACCAACCGTGGAGCTGATCTGCCCTCTGACCATCGACTTGTCATCTGTAAGATGCGCCTGCCATTCTTCCACTCCGGTGGTGGGTGTACACCCAGGACCCCATTACAACCTAAAGTGGCCTGGTCTCAGTTATCTGATGAAAGTTGCAAGCGAGAATTTCATCATCGCTTGCGGCTGGGATTGGCATTGTCCCCGACTCCTCCTGATGTCGAGGGTAAATGGGCGAGGTTTAGGACTGACTCATGCAGCTGCAATGGCTGCTTTGGGTACACGGTCCAGACCTCCCCAGAGACCCTGGCTGATAGAGGAGGTGTTCAGGATGGTTGAGAAAAAGTGACAGGCCCACTGTCATCGGCTACAGAATCCCACGTCAGAGAATGAGGAGGCTTACCGCAGCCTTCGCTCGGAGGTTCAGAGAGCCGTGAGGCGCTGCAAGGATGGGTGGTGGTCGCGGGTTGCTGAGGAGATGGAGTCTGCCTCAGTGGCCCGTGATCACAAATCTCTATTTAACTCCATCAAAAAAGTAACCTGCAGCGCCACACCTATTACCGTCATTAGGCGAAAAAACGGTGATCCAATCTCTGACCCCCAGGAACAGGTTTGCAGATTTGCTGAGCATTTCTGTGAGGTCCTGGGGGAGGGAAAATCCCTCAGCCAGGAAAACATCGTGGCACAAAGTGAGGATGACCCTGCTGAGGCTGCGGTGCCTCAAATATTGGAAGAAGTCACCCCCTGTGAGTGGCTGGCTGGGGTGCCATCTGTTGAGGAAGTACTGAAGGCGATCCGGAGTCTGAGACCAGGAAAGGCAGCGGGCAGAGATGATCTCCCAAGCGAAATGCTGAGGGAGGGCGGCGTTTGTGCACAGACTGCCCTATATGACATCATAACAACAGTCTGGACCACTGGACGGGTTCCGCAGGATTGGAAGGATGCCCTGGTGGTCCCCCTTTTTAAGAAGGGGGACCGCACAGACTGTAACAACTACAGGGGCGTCTCACTCCTCAGTGTGCCGGGAAAGGTCCTGGCAAGGATTATTCAACATCGCCTTGCCAGGCACGCTGAGGAGAGGCTTGCGGAGCCCCAATGCGGTTTCAGGAAAGGGCGGTCCTGCACAGATGCCATATTTTCTGTCCGTCTGCTACAGCAGAGGTGTATGGAATTCCAACAAGACCTACATCTCTGCTTTATTGACCTGGTCAAGGCCTATGATACCATCAGTAGGCCTGGGCTCTGGGTTGTTCTTCGTGCTTTTGGAGTACCTGACCCTCTGCTCACGATCATTAAGGACCTTCATGATGGTGAGCGGGCCTGGGTAAAACTACATGGCCGGGAGTCAGAGCCATTCCCTGTACACCTTGGGGTGCGACAGGGATGTCCTCTGGCTCCCACATTATTTAACATCTATTTTGACCATGTGGTTCGTGAAGCCTTCAATAGCTGTACCGGGGGAATCTCCATATGGTACAGATATAATGGGAGGCTGATCGATGCCTGGGTGCGGTCAAGGGATGGCTCCCTATTGCTCTACCACGTTATGTGTGCTAATGATTTGGTAATAGCTGCTCATTCAGAGGAGGAGTTGGAGATGGTGCTGCTGAGACTGTAGCGTGCCACTAAGAGGTGGGGCCTTACCATCAGCCCCACCAAAACTAAGCACCTGCCTGGGTATTTTGTACCATCGGACACTCCATCCCCACAACTCCCAATCGGTGATGGGGCAGTTGTGGAGAGAGTGGAGAGTTTCCCATGCCTGGGCAGTGTGCTTATGACTGGCTCCAGTTTAACAGCAGAAGTTTCACTCCGAATCAGTCGAGCGGCAATATCTTTTCATCGGTTGCGTAACGCTGTGTGGAAGCTACCTGGTCTGTCGCTCCGCACTAAGCTTCAGGTCTTCTCGGCCACGGTCATTCCCTCCCTTCTCTACGCTTGCGAAACGTGGACCCCCCTAATGGAACATATTCGCCGATTAGAAACATTTAGGCTGGCCTGCCTACGATCCATCCTGGGTTTAACCAGACTGGATTGTGTGAGGAGCTCACAAATCCTTGAAAGATCTGGGCAAGGTCCCATCGGTGAGCTCCTCCGGCGGGCAAGGCTGCGATGGCTGGGTCATGTAGCCCGCATGCCTAGCCACCGCATGCCGAAACGGCTTTTGTTCGGCCGGATTGAGGGGGCTAAGCGGGCGCGGTACGGGCTAGAGAAGAGATGGAGTGATGTGGTACAGGAGGACGTGGAGCTGAGTGGACTTGCCGATGACTGGTACCAGCGGTGTCAAGATCGGCCTCTGTGGAGGAGGCTCGTGAAGGATGCTACTGGGCAGTTGGAGGTAGTCGCCCTCCAACAACAATGGAGGGCGGAGGAGCGACGCTCACAACAACGAGCGGAGCGCCGGGTGGCTAAAGCACAGCAGGTTGGCACAGTAGGGGGCACAGGTGGTGCATCAGCCAGTCATCTCAGTCAGTCGACCCGTGGCACCTGGGTCTGCCCCGTGACCTCCTGCCAGCGGGCGTTCGACACTTCACGTGGCCTCAGGGTGCACATAGCCTGGCACAAGCGTCGTGGTGACGTCACCGCCACTTAGTGGCGAATGGCGGTTGTTGTTGTTGTGTGGTACAGGCTGTGTGTGGTACAGGGTGTGTGTGGTACAGGGTGTGTGTGTGTGTGGTACAAGGTGTGTGTGTGTGTGGTACAGGGTGTGTGAGTATGGTACAGGATGTGTGTGTGTGAGTGTGGTACAGGATGTGTGTGTGTGAGTGTGGTACAGGATGTGTGTGTGTGAGTGTGGTACAGGATGTGTGTGTGTGAGTGTGGTACAGGATGTGTGTGTGTGTGTGAGTGTGGTACAGGATGTGTGTGTGTGTGAGTGTGGTACAGGATGTGTGTGTGTGTGTGAGTGTGGTACAGGATGTGTGTGTGTGTGAGTGTGGTACAGGATGTGTGTGTGTGAGTGTGGTACAGGATGTGTGTGAGTGTGGTACAGGATGTGTGTGAGTGTGGTACAGGATGTGTGTGTCTGTGACAGGCTGTGTGTGTGTGTGTGACAGGCTGTGTGTGTGTGTTACTTGCTGTGTGTGTGTGGTACAGGGTGTGTGTGACAGGGTGTGTGTGTGTGTTAGAGGGTGTGTGTGTGTGTTACTTGCTGTGTGTGTGGTACAGGATGTGTGTGTGTGTGGTACAGGGGGTGTGTGTGTGTGGTACAGGGGGTGTGTGTGTGTGGTACAGGGGGTGTGTGTGTGTGGTACAGGGGGTGTGTGTGTGTGGTACAGGGGGTGTGTGTGTGTGGTACAGGGGGTGTGTGTGTGTGTGTGGTACAGGGGGTGTGTGTGTGTGTTACAGGGTGTGTGTGTGTGTGTGTGTTACTTGCTGTGTGTGTGTGTTACAGGGTGTGTGTGTGACAGGCTGTGTGTGTGGTACAGGGTGTGTGTGTGTGTGTGACAGGCTGTGTGTGTGTGTGTGACAGGCTGCGTGTGTGGTACAGGCTGTGTGTGTGGTACAGGGTGTGTGTGTGTGTGTGGTACAGGCTGTGTTTGTGTGAGTGTGGTACAGGCTGTGTGTGTGTGTGTGTGTGGTACAGGCTGTGTGTGTGGTACAGGGTGTGTGTGTGTGTGGTACAGGCTGTGTGTGTGTGTGTGACAGGCTGTGTGTGTGTGAGTGTGGTCAGGCTGCGCCTAGAGGCTATAAGGGGGCGTCTGTCTGTGTCACCACCCCACCAGGTGGTGGCCATCAAGATGATCGACCTGGAGGCGGCTGAGGATGAGATTGAGGACATCCAGCAGGAGATCACGGTGCTGAGTCAGTGCGACTCTCCCTTCGTCACGCGCTACCATGGCTCCTACCTCAAGGTGCACACACACACGCACACACGCACACACGCACGTACACACGCACGCACATACACACACACGCACGCACGCACACGCACGTACGCACGCACGTACACACGTACACACGTACACACGTACGCACTCACGCACGCACGCGCACACACACACACACGTACACACGCACACACGCACGTACGCACATACAAAAAAGGCAAAGATCCCCTTTAGCCACCCGGCGCTCCGCTCGTTGTTGTGAGCGTCGCTCCTCCGCCCTCCGTTGTTGCTGGAGGGCGACTGCCTCCAACTGCCCAGTAGCGTCCTTCACGAGCCTCCTCCACAGAGGCCGATCTTGACACCGCTGGAACCAGTCATCGGCAAGTCGACTCAGCTCCACGTCCTCCTGTACCACATCACTCCGTCTCTTCTCTAGCCCGTGCCGCGCCCGTATAGCCCCCTCGATCCGGCCGAACAAAAGCCGTTTAGGCATGCGGTGGCTGAGCATGTGGGCTACATGACCAATCCAATGCAGCCTTGCCTGCCGGAGGAGCTCACCGATGGGACCTTGCCCAGATCTTTCAAGGATTTGTGAGCGCCTCACACAATCCAGCCTGGTTAAACCCAGGATGTATCGTAGGCAGGCCAGCCTAAATGTTTCCAACCGGCGAAGATGCTCCATTAAGGGGGTCCACGTTTCGCAAGCGTAGAGAAGGGAGGGAATGACCGTGGCCGAGAAGACCTGAAGCTTAGTGCGGAGCGACAGACCAGGTAGCTTCCACACAGCGTTACGCAACCGATGAAAAGATATTGCCGCTCGACTGATTCGGAGTGAGACCTCTGCTGTTAAACTGGAGCCGGTCATAAGCACACTGCCCAGGTATGGGAAACTCTCCACTCTCTCCACAACTGCCCCATCACCGATTGGGAGTTGTGGGGGTGGAGTGTCCGATGGTACAAAATACCCAGGCAGGTGCTTAGTTTTGGTGGGGCTGATGGTAAGGCCCCACCTCTTAGTGGCACGCTCCAGTCTCAGCAGCAGCGTCTCCAACTCCTCCTCTGAATGAGCAGCTATTACCAAATCATCGGCATACATATCGTGGTTGAGCAATAGGGAGCCATCCCTTGACCGCACCCGGGCATCGATCAGCCTCCCATTCTATCTGTACCATATGGAGATTCCCCCGGTACAGCTGTTGAAGGCTTCACGAACACACACGTGCACGCACGCAAACACACACACACACGTACACACACGCAAACACACACACACGCAAACACACACACACACACACGTATACACACGCAAACACACACACACACACACGTACACGCACGCAAACACACACACGTACACACACACAAACACACACACACGTACACACACGAAAACACACACACACACACGTACACGCACGCAAACACACACACGTACACGCACGTATACACAGACATGCACACGCACGTGCATGCACGTACGGGCGGTTCCCGATTGTACGACGTTCCGATGCCGTTCCCGGAAGCCACCGGCGCCGTGAGCCCCACAGCCTTTCCCAGTCTCACACCGGCGAGGGAGGTGATCCAAGGCGGAGCTGCGATCCGGGAATTCTTCCCATCCTGCCGGAACTCCCTCCTGTGGTTCCAGACTGCATCGTGCAACAGGGCAGCCTTGCACACAATCGAGGAATGGTCATCTCTGCCCGGCGCTTCCTCAGCACACTGCCTTATCAGCCGGCCACTCCTCCAGTATTCAAACTGGAAAACTAAAGATGATCATCGGTCGTCCGGCACCGCTGCGACCCTTACATTCCTGGGTTCCATCCGGTGAAACCACTCCAAAGATTGTAAATCGATCCGGCGATCGGCACCACAAAGGGTAGCTCCGCTTGATTTCACTGTTGAATATTGCACAGAGCACAGTGGGGACCCCTCTGAACGAGCACACCTCGCTTAACGACGGGCGTCCATAGAGACCAATGTGTAGTGTCTAGTGGTGTGGTGTCTAGTAGTGTGGTGTCTAGTAGTGTGGTGTCTTAGTAGTGTAGTGTCTAGTGGTGTAGTGTCTAGTAGCGTAGTGTCTAGTGGTGTGGTGTCTAGTAGTGTGGTGTCTAGTAGTGTCTAGTGGCGTAGTGTCTAGTAGTGTAGTGTCTAGTAGTGTCTAGTAGTGTAGTGTCTAGTAGTGTCTAGTAGTGTAGCGTCTAGTAGTGTAGTAGTGTAGTGTCTATTAGTGTCTAGTAGTGTAGTGTCTAGTGGTGTAGTGTCTAGTAGTGTAGTGTCTAGTGGTGTAGTGTCTAGTGGTGTAGTGTCTAGTAGTGTAGTGTCTAGTGGTGTAGTGTCTAGTGGTGTAGTGTCTAGTGGTGTAGTGTCTAGTGGTGTAGTGTCTAGTGGTGTAGTGTCTAGTGGTGTAGTGTCTAGTAGTGTAGTGTCTAGTGGTGTAGTGTCTAGTAGTGTAGTGTCTAGTGGTGTAGTGTCTAGTGGTGTAGTGTCTAGTGGTGTAGTGTCTAGTAGTGTAGTGTCTAGTGGTGTAGTGTCTAGTAGTGTAGTGTCTAGTAGTGTAGTGTCTAGTAGTGTAGTGTCTAGTGGCGTAGTGTCTAGTGGTGTAGTGTCTAGTGGTGTAGTGTCTAGTGGTGTAGTGTCTAGTGGTGTAGTGTCTAGTGGTGTAGTGTCTAGTGGTGTAGTGTCTAGTGGTGTAGTGTCTAGTAGTGTAGTGTCTAGTGGTGTAGTGTCTAGTGGTGTAGTGTCTAGTGGTGTAGTGTCTAGTGGTGTAGTGTCTAGTGGTGTAGTGTCTAGTGGTGTAGTGTCTAGTAGTGTAGTGTCTAGTGGTGTAGTGTCTAGTAGTGTAGTGTCTAGTAGTGTAGTGTCTAGTGGTGTAGTGTCTAGTGGTGTAGTGTCTAGTGGCGTAGTGTCTAGTGGTGTAGTGTCTAGTGGTGTAGTGTCTAGTGGTGTAGTGTCTAGTGGTGTAGTGTCTAGTGGTGTAGTGTCTAGTGGTGTAGTGTCTAGTGGTGTAGTGTCTAGTGGTGTAGTGTCTAGTGGCGTAGTGTCTAGTAGCGTAGTGTCTAGTGGTGTAGTGTCTAGTGGTGTAGTGTCTAGTGGTGTAGTGTCTAGTGGTGTAGTGTCTAGTGGTGTAGTGTCTAGTGGTGTAGTGTCTAGTGGTGTAGTGTCTAGTAGTGTCTAGTAGTGTAGTGTCTAGTAGTGTAGTGTCTAGTGGCGTAGTGTCTAGTGGTGTAGTGTCTAGTGGTGTAGTGTCTAGTGGTGTAGTGTCTAGTGGTGTAGTGTCTAGTGGTGTAGTGTCTAGTGGTGTAGTGTCTAGTAGTGTAGTGTCTAGTGGTGTAGTGTCTAGTGGTGTAGTGTCTAGTGGTGTAGTGTCTAGTGGTGTAGTGTCTAGTAGTGTAGTGTTTAGTGGTGTAGTGTCTAGTGGTGTAGTGTCTAGTGGTGTAGTGTCTAGTGGTGTAGTGTCTAGTGGTGTAGTGTCTAGTGGTGTAGTGTCTAGTGGTGTAGTGTCTAGTAGTGTAGTGTCTAGTGGTGTAGTGTCTAGTGGCGTAGTGTCTAGTGGCGTAGTGTCTAGTGGTGTAGTGTCTAGTGGTGTAGTGTCTAGTAGTGTAGTGTCTAGTGGTGTAGTGTCTAGTGGTGTAGTGTCTAGTGGTGTAGTGTCTAGTAGTGTAGTGTCTAGTGGTGTAGTGTCTAGTGGTGTAGTGTCTAGTAGTGTAGTGTCTAGTGGTGTAGTGTCTAGTGGTGTAGTGTCTAGTAGTGTAGTGTCTAGTGGTGTAGTGTCTAGTGGTGTAGTGTCTAGTAGTGTAGTGTCTAGTAGTGTAGTGTCTAGTGGCGTAGTGTCTAGTAGTGTAGTGTCTAGTGGTGTAGTGTCTAGTGGTGTAGTGTCTAGTAGTGTAGTGTCTAGTAGTGTAGTGTCTAGTGGTGTAGTGTCTAGTAGTGTAGTGTCTAGTGGTGTAGTGTCTAGTAGTGTAGTGTCTAGTGGTGTAGTGTCTAGTGGTGTAGTGTCTAGTGGTGTAGTGTCTAGTAGTGTAGTGTCTAGTGGTTTAGTGTCTAGTAGTGTAGTGTCTAGTAGTGTAGTGTCTAGTGGTGTAGTGTCTAGTGGTGTAGTGTCTAGTGGTGTAGTGTCTAGTGGTGTAGTGTCTAGTAGTGTAGTGTCTAGTGGTGTAGTGTCTAGTGGTGTAGTGTCTAGTGGTGTAGTGTCTAGTGGCGTAGTGTCTAGTAGTGTCTAGTGGTGTAGTGTCTAGTGGTGTAGTGTCTAGTGGTGTAGTGTCTAGTGGTGTAGTGTCTAGTGGTGTAGTGTCTAGTGGTGTAGTGTCTAGTGGTGTAGTGTCTAGTGGCGTAGTGTCTAGTAGTGTAGTGTCTAGTGGTGTAGTGTCTAGTGGTGTAGTGTCTAGTGGTGTAGTGTCTAGTGGCGTAGTGTCTAGTAGTGTAGTGTCTAGTGGTGTCTAGTAGTGTCTAGTGGCATAGTGTCTAGTAGTGTAGTGTCTAGTGGTGTAGTGTCTAGTAGTGTAGTGTCTAGTGGTGTAGTGTCTAGTAGTGTAGTGTCTAGTGGCGTAGTGTCTAGTGGTGTAGTGTCTAGTAGCGTAGTGTCTAGTGGTGTAGTGTCTAGTAGTGTAGTGTCTAGTGGTGTAGTGTCTAGTAGTGTAGTAGTGTAGTGTAGTGTCTAGTAGTGTAGTGTCTAGTGGTGTAGTGTCTAGTGGTGTAGTGTCTAGTAGTGTAGTGTCTAGTGGTGTAGTGTCTAGTGGCGTAGTGTCTAGTGGTGTAGTGTCTAGTGGTGTAGTGTCTAGTGGCGTAGTGTCTAGTAGTGTAGTGTCTAGTGGTGTAGTGTCTAGTGGTGTAGTGTCTAGTAGTGTAGTAGTGTAGTGTCTAGTGGTGTAGTGTCTAGTGGTGTAGTGTCTAGTGGTGTAGTGTCTAGTGGTGTAGTGTCTAGTGGTGTAGTGTCTAGTGGTTTAGTGTCTAGTGGTGTAGTGTCTAGTGGTGTAGTGTCTAGTGGTGTGGTGTCTAGTGGTGTGGTGTCTAGTGGTGTGGTGTCTAGTGGTGTAGTGTCTAGTAGCGTAGTGTCTAGTAGTGTAGTGTCTAGTGGTGTAGTGTCTAGTGGTGTAGTGTCTAGTGGTGTGGTGTCTAGTGGTGTGGTGTCTAGTGGTGTGGTGTCTAGTGGTGTAGTGTCTAGTAGTGTAGTGTCTAGTGGTGTAGTGTCTAGTGGTGTAGTGTCTAGTGGTTTAGTGTCTAGTGGTGTAGTGTCTAGTGGTGTAGTGTCTAGTGGTGTGGTGTCTAGTGGTGTGGTGTCTAGTGGTGTAGTGTCTAGTGGTGTAGTGTCTAGTGGTGTGGTGTCTAGTGGTGTGGTGTCTAGTAGTGTCTAGTGGTGTGGTGTCTAGTGGTGTAGTGTCTAGTGGTGTGGTGTCTAGTGGCGTAGTGTCTAGTAGTGTCTAGTGGTGTGGTGTCTAGTAGTGTCTAGTGGCGTAGTGTCTAGTGGTGTAGTGTCTAGTGGTGTGGTGTCTAGTGGCGTAGTGTCTAGTGGTGTAGTGTCTAGTAGTGTAGTGTCTAGTGGTGTAGTGTCTAGTGGTGTAGTGTCTAGTGGTGTAGTGTCTAGTGGTGTAGTGTCTAGTGGTGTGGTGTCTAGTAGTGTAGTGTCTAGTGGTGTGGTGTCTAGTAGTGTCTAGTGGCGTAGTGTCTAGTGGTGTAGTGTCTAGTGGCGTAGTGTCTAGTAGTGTCTAGTGGTGTAGTGTCTAGTAGTGTAGTGTCTAGTAGTGTAGTGTCTAGTGGTGTAGTGTCTAGTAGTGTAGTAGTGTAGTGTCTAGTAGTGTAGTGTCTAGTGGTGTAGTATCTAGTAGTGTAGTGTCTAGTAGTGTGGTGTCTAGTGGTGTAGTGTCTAGTGGTGTAGTGTCTAGTGGTGTAGTGTCTAGTGGCGTAGTGTCTAGTGGTGTAGTGTCTAGTGGTGTAGTGTCTAGTGGTGTAGTGTCTAGTAGTGTAGTGTCTAGTAGTGTAGTGTCTAGTGGTGTAGTGTCTAGTGGTGTAGTGTCTAGTGGTGTAGTGTCTAGTGGCGTAGTGTCTAGTGGCGTAGTGTCTAGTAGTGTAGTGTCTAGTAGTGTAGTAGTGTAGGGTAGTGTCTAGTAGTGTAGTAGTGTAGTGTCTAGTAGTGTCTAGTGTCTAGTAGTGTAGTGTCTAGTGTATCGTACTGCAGTATATATTTTAGTGCAGTGGTATAATAGTTCAGTGTATAGTACTGTAGTGTATAGGGTAGTGTAGAGTGTAGAGTAGAACCCTTCTTAACGACCCACAGAGATGGAACCCACGACTTCCTGTGTATCAGGCAAGTTGGTTAACACGTCTTCGCCACCGCGACGATGATGAGAGATTCCCCTAACCCCCAAGACCTCAAAGAAACTGCTCAGCAAACCGGCAGGGCAGTTCCCGTGGGGTCGGACAGGTCACCGTCCTTTCTCTTACAGTTAGACCACGGCCAGTGATGATGATGACGATGTTGACGGTGATGATGACGATGTTGATGATGACGATGTTGACGTTGATGATGACGATATTGACGGTGACGATGTGATGTTGACGATGATCTTGATGATGATGTTTATGATGGCGATGTTGTTGATGACGATGTTGACGATGTTTATGATGATGATGATGATGATATTGATCATGATGATATTGACGATGACGATGTTGATGAATACGATGTTGATGATGATCATGTTGATGATGATGTTGATGATGACGATGATGATGTTGATGACGATGATGATGTTGATGATGATGATGTTGATGACGACGATGTTGATGATGATGTTGACGATGCATGTGTGTTGGTGTGTCTCTGTGTGCAGGACAGCAAGCTGTGGATCATCATGGAGTACTTGGGCGGTGGCTCTGCCCTTGACCTGGTAAGTTTGCGTGTTCCTGTGTGTGCGCGTGTGCGCGTGTGTGCGTGTGTGTGTTGAGTGTGTGTGTGCGTGTGTGTGTGTTGAGTGTGTGCGTGTGTGTGTGTTGAGTGTGTGTGTGCGCGTGTGTGCGTGTGTGTGTGCGTGTGTGTGTGTTGAGTGTGTGCGTGTGTGTGTGTGTGTGTGTTGAGTGTGTGTGTGTGTTGAGTGTGTGTGTGCGTGTGTGTGTGTGCGTCTTTGTGTGTGCGCGTGTGTGTGCGTGCGTATTGAGTATGGGGTGTGTGTGTGTGTGTGATCTGGGCAAGGTCCCATCGGTGAGCTCCTCCGGCGGGGAAGGCTGCGATGGCTGGGTCATGTAGCCTGCATGCCCAGCCACCGCATGCCGAAACAGCTTTTGTTCGGCCGGATTGAGGGGGCTAAGCGGGCGCGGCACGGGCTAGAGAAGAGATGGAGTGATGTGGTACAGGAGGACGTGGAGCTGAGTGGACTTGCCGATGACTGGTACCAGCGGTGTCAGGATCGGCCTCTGTGGAGGAGGCTCGTGAAGGACGCTACTGGGCAGTTGGAGGCAGTCGCCCTCCAACAACAACGGAGGGCGGAGGAGCGACGCTCACAACAACGAGCGGAGCGCCGGGTGGCTAAAGCACAGCAGGTTGGCACAGTAGGGGGCACAGGTGGTGCATCAGCCAGTCATCTCAGTCAGTCGACCCGTGGCACCTGGGTCTGCCCCGTGACCTCCTGCCAGCGGGCGTTCGACACTTCACGTGGCCTCAAGGTGCACATAGCCTGGCACAAGCGTCGTGGTGACGTCACCGCCACTTAGTGGCGAATGGCGGTTGTTGTTGTTGTTGTGTGTATGTGCGTGTGTGCGAGTGTGTGCGCGCATTTTTGCTGTGTGTGTGTGCGCGTGTGTGTTGAGTGCGTGTGTTGTGTGAGTGTTAAGTGTGCGTGTGTGAGTGTGCGAGTGTGCGCGTGAGTTTTGAGTGTGTGTGAGTGTTGTGTGTACGTGTGTGAGTGTTGTGTGTGTGTGCGTGTGTGAGTGTTGTGCGTGCGTGCGTGTGTGTGCATGTGTGCGTGAGTGCGTGTGTGCGTGTGAGTGCGTGTGTGCGTGTTGTGTTTGCGTGTGTGAGTGTTGTGTGTGAGTGTGCGTGTGAGTGTGCGTGAGTGTGTGTGTGCGTGAGTGTGTGAGTGTGTGTGTGCGCGTGTTGTGTGTGCGTGTGTGAGTGTTGTGTGTGAGTGTGCGTGTTGTGTGTGCGTTTGTGTGTGTGCGTGTGCGTGTGAGTGCGTGTGCGTGTGAGTGCGTGTGTGTGCGTGTGTGTTTGTGCGTGTGAGTGCGTGTGTGCGTGTGTGCGTGGTGTGTGTGCGTGTGTGAGTGTGTTGTGTGCGTGTGAGTGCGTGTGTGCGTGTTGTGTGTGCGTGTTGTGCGTGTTGTGCGTGAGAGTGCGTGTGTGAGTGTGTGTGTGTACGTGTGTGTGTGAGTGTGTGTGTGTACGTGTGTGTGTGTCTGAGTGTGTGTGTCTGAGTGTGTGTGTGTGTGTGAGTGCGTGTGTGAGTGTTGTGTGTGAGTGTGCGTGTGTGAGTGCGTGTGTGCGTGTTGTGCGTGTGTGAGTGTTGTGTGTGCGTGTTGTGCGTGTGTGAGTGTTGTGTGTGCGTGTTGTGCGTGTGTGAGTGTGCGTGTGTGAGTGTGTGTGTCTGAGTGTGTGTGTGTATGTGTGTGTGCGTGTGTGAGTGTTGTGTGTGTGTGAGTGTTGTGTGTGTGTGAGTGTTGTGTGTGTGTGAGTGTTGTGTGTGTGTGAGTGTTGTGTGTGTGTGAGTGTTGTGTGTGTGTGTGAGTGAGTGTTGTGTGTGTGTGAGTGTTGTGTGTGTGTGTGCAGCGGTTAGTGGCTGGGTAGCGGCAGTGCAGTGCTGGGGGCGCTCTGCGCTGGGAACCCGACCACCCGAGTTCGATTCCCGGCCAACGCCGCCGGTGACGATTGGCTGAACCGGTCCCTGGGCCCTCCCCTAGGTCGGCTCGGCCTCAAACGAGTACCCGGTGCGATGCGTGAGAGCGTCGCCACTGGGGAGACAAAGGCGGCCGGGCGTTGTCCTGGCAACCGACCCCCTCGTGTGCCGTGCCGGCGTTCACGGGCGCCGCTCGCCAAGCGCGCTTGCCCCGGCATTCTGTCGAGGCTACACGGGGGACCTTTGTCTTTGTTACGTGCGTAGCTGCAGGCCGGCCCGCTGGAGGAGTACCATATCGCCACGATCCTTCGCGAGATACTCAAGGGGCTGGAGTACCTTCACTCGGAGAGGAAGATTCACAGAGACATCAAAGGTAGCCCCGTGGCAGACGGAGGAAGCAACGATTCACTCGGAGACCCAGAGACTCGCATAGAGAGACACATAGACTCACATAGAGACCCAAAGACTCACTCACACAGAGACCCATAGACTCACTCACACAGAGACCCATAGACTCACATAGAGAGACCCATAGACTCACATAGAGACCCAAAGACTCACTCACACAGAGACCCATAGACTCACTCACACAGAGACCCATAGACTCAAACAGAGAGACCCATAGACTCACATAGAGACCCACAGACTCACTCACACAGAGACCCATAGACTCACTCACACAGAGACCCATAGACTCACTCACTCAGAGACCCAGAGACTCGCATAGAGAGAGACCCATAGACTCACATAGAGAGACCCATAGACTCACATAGAGACCCACAGACTCACTCACACAGAGACCCATAGACTCACACAGAGACCCACAGACTCACATAGAGACCCATAGACTCACAGAGACACCTATAGACTCACACAGAGACCCATAGACTCACTCACTCAGAGACCCATAGACTCACTCACTCAGAGACCCATAGACTCACTCACACAGAGACCCATAGACTCACTCACACAGAGACTCATAGACTCACTCATACAGAGACCCATAGACTCACATAGAGAGACCCATAGACTCACTCACACAGAGACCCATAGACTCACTCACACAGAGACCCACAGACTCACTCACACAGAGACCCATAGACTCACTCACACAGAGACCCATAGACTCACTCACACAGAGACCCATAGACTCACATAGAGACCCATAGACTCACACAGAGACCCATAGACTCACTCACACAGAGACCCATAGACTCACATAGAGACCCATAGACTCACACAGAGACCCATAGACTCACTCAGAGACCCATAGACTCGCACAGAGAGACCCATAGACTCACTCACATAGAGACCCAGAGACTCACTCACACAGAGACCCATAGACTCACTCGCATAGAGACCCATAGACTCACTCACTCAGAGACCCAGAGACTCACACAGAGAGACCCATAGACTCACACAGAGAGACCCATAGACTCACACAGAGAGCCATAGACTCACTCACACATAGACCCATAGACTCGCTCACACAGAGAGCCATAGACTCACACAGAGACCCATACACTCACCACACAGACACCCATAGACTCACACACACAGAACCATAGACTCACTCACACAGAGAGCCATAGACTCACTCACTCAGAGACCCATAGACTCGCTCACACAGAGACCCATAGACTCACACAGAGACCCATAGACTCACCACACAGAGAACCATAGACTCACTCACACAGAGACCCATAGACTTACTCACACAGAGACCCATAGACTCACTCACACAGAGACCCATAGACTCACTCACACAGAGACCCATAGACTCACCACACAGACACCCATAGACTCACTCACACATAGACCCATAGACTCACTCACACAGAGACCCATAGACTTACTCACACAGAGAAACATAGACTCACTCACACAGAGACTCATAGACTCACACAGAGACCATAGACTCACTCACACAGAGACCCATAGACTCACTCACACAGAGACCCATAGACTCACTCGCACAGAGACCCATAGACTCACTCACTCAGAGACCCATTGACTCACATAGAGGACCCATAGACTCACACAGAGACCCATAGACTCACTCAGAGACCCACAGACTCACCACACAGAGACCCACAGTCTCACTCACACAGATCCATAGACTCACTAACACAGAGACCCATAGACTCACTCACACAGAGATCCATAGACTCACTCACACAGAGACATACAGACTCACACAGAGACCCACAGACTCACTCACACAGAGACCCACAGACTCACTCACACAGAGACCCATAGACTCACTCACACAGAGACCCATAGACTCACTCACACAGAGACCCATGGACTCACTCACACACAGAGACATAGACTCACCACACAGAGACATAGACTCACTCACACAGAGACCCACAGACTCACTCACACAGAGACCCACAGACTCACTCACACAGAGACCCATAGACTCACACAGAGACCCACAGACTCACACAGAGACCCATAGACTCACCACACAGAGACCCACAGACTCACACAGAGACCCACAGACTCACACAGAGACCCACAGACTCACACAGAGATCCATAGACTCACTCACACAGAGACCCACAGACTCACTCACGCAGAGACCCACAGTCTCACTCACACAGAGATCCATAGACTCACTCACACAGAGCCCCACAGACTCACTCACACACAGACCCACAGACTCACACAGAGACCCACAGACTCACACAGAGACCCACAGACTCACTCACACACAGAGACATAGACTCACTCACATAGAGACCCACAGACTCACACAGAGACCCACAGACTCACACAGAGACCCATAGACTCACCACACAGAGACCCACAGATTCACTCACACAGAGACCCACAGACTCACCACACAGAGACCCACAGACTCACCACACAGAGACCCATAGACTCACTCGCACAGAGACCCACAGACTCACCACACAGAGACCCATAGACTCACTCACCACACAGAGACCCACAGACCCACTCACTCACACAGAGACCCACAGACTCACCACACAGAGACCCACAGACTCACCACACAGAGACCCATAGACTCACTCACCACACAGAGACCCACAGACTCACTAACACAGAGACCCACAGACTCACTCTCACAGAGACCCACAGACTCACTCACACAGAGACCCACAGACTCGCCACACAGAGACCCACAGACTCGCCACACAGAGACCCATAGACTCACTCACACAGAGACCCACAGACTCACTCACACAGAGACCCACAGACTCACCACACAGAGACCCATAGACTCACTCACCACACAGAGACCCACAGACCCACTCACTCACACAGAGACCCACAGACTCACTCACACAGAGACCCACAGACTCACCACACAGAGACCCATAGACTCACTCACACAGAGACCCACAGACTCACTCACTCACACAGAGACCCACAGACTCACTCACTCACACAGAGACCCACCGACTCACTCACACAGATACCTACAGACTCACACAGAGACCCACAAACTCACACAGAGACCCACAAACTCATTCACACAGAGACCCACAGACTCACTCACTCACACAGAGACCCACAGACTCACTCACTCACACAGAGACCCATAGACTCACTCACACAGACTCACAGACTCACTCACACAGAGACCCACAGACTCACAAAGAGACCCACAGACTCACACACAGAGACCCACAGACCCACTCACTCACACAGAGACCCACAGACTCACCACACAGAGACCCACAGACTCACCACACAGAGACCCACAGACTCACCACACAGAGACCCACAGACTCACACAGAGACCCACAGACTCACTCACACACAGAGACATAGACTCACTCACATAGAGACCCACAGACTCACTCACACAGAGACCCACAGACTCACACATAGACCCATAGACTCACCACACAGAGACCCACAGATTCACTCACACAGAGACCCACAGACTCACCACACAGAGACCCACAGACTCACCACACAGAGACCCATAGACTCACTCGCACAGAGACCCACAGACTCACCACACAGAGACCCATAGACTCACTCACCACACAGAGACCCACAGACCCACTCACTCACACAGAGACCCACAGACTCACTCACACAGAGACCCACAGACTCACTCACTCACACAGAGACCCACAGACTCACCACACAGAGACCCACAGACTCACCACACAGAGACCCATAGACTCACTCACCACACAGAGACCCACAGACTCACTCACACAGAGACCCACAGACTCACTCACACAGAGACCCACAGACTCACTCACACAGAGACCCACAGACTCGCCACACAGAGACCCATAGACTCACTCACACAGAGACCCACAGACTCACTCACACAGAGACCCACAGACTCACCACACAGAGACCCATAGACTCACTCACCACACAGAGACCCACAGACCCACTCACTCACACAGAGACCCACAGACTCACTCACACAGAGACCCACAGACTCACCACACAGAGACCCATAGACTCACTCACACAGAGACCCACAGACTCACTCGCTCACGCAGAGACCCACAGACTCACTCACTCACACAGAGACCCACAGACTCACTCACACAGAGACCTACAGACTCACACAGAGACCCACAAACTCACACAGAGACCCACAAACTCACTCACACAGAGACCCACAGACTCACTCACTCACACAGAGACCCATAGACTCACTCACACAGAGACTCACAGACTCACTCACACAGAGACCCACAGACTCACACACAGACCCACAGACTCACCACACAGAGACCCACAGACTCACCACACAGAGACCCACAGACTCACCACACTGAGACCCACAGACTCACTCACTCACACAGAGACCCACAGACTCACCACACAGAGACCCACAGACTCACCACACAGAGACCCACAGACTCACTCACACAGAGACCCATAGACTCACTCACTCACACACAGAGACCCACAGACTCACCACACAGAGACCCACAGACTCACCACACAGAGACCCACAGACTCACTCACACAGAGACCTACAGACTCACACAGAGACCCACAAACTCACACAGAGACCCACAGACTCACCACACAGAGACCCACAGACTCACTCACACAGAGACCTACAGACTCACACAGAGACCCACAAACTCACACAGAGACCCACAAACTCACTCACACAGAGACCCATAGACTCACTCACACAGAGACTCACAGACTCACTCACACAGAGACCCACAGACTCACCACACAGAGACCCACAGACTCACTCACACAGAGACCCACAGACTCACCACACACAGACCCACAGACTCACCACACAGAGACCCACATACTCACACACAGAGACCCACAGACTCACCACACAGAGACCCACAGACTCACCACACAGAGACCCATAGACTCACTCACCACACAGAGACCCACAGACCCACTCACTCACACAGAGACCCACAGACTCACTCACACAGAGACCCACAGACTCACCACACAGAGACCCATAGACTCACTCACACAGAGACCCACAGACTCACTCGCTCACGCAGAGACCCACAGACTCACTCGCTCACGCAGAGACCCACAGACTCACTCACTCACACAGAGACCCACAGACTCACTCACACAGAGACCTACAGACTCACACAGAGACCCACAAACTCACACAGAGACCCACAAACTCACTCACACAGAGACCCACAGACTCACTCACTCACACAGAGACCCATAGACTCACTCACACAGAGACTCACAGACTCACTCACACAGAGACCCACAGACTCACACACAGACCCACAGACTCACCACACAGAGACCCACAGACTCACCACACAGAGACCCACAGACTCACCACACTGAGACCCACAGACTCACTCACTCACACAGAGACCCACAGACTCACCACACAGAGACCCACAGACTCACCACACAGAGACCCACAGACTCACTCACACAGAGACCCATAGACTCACTCACTCACACACAGAGACCACAGACTCACCACACAGAGACCCACAGACTCACCACACAGAGACCCACAGACTCACTCACACAGAGACCTACAGACTCACACAGAGACCCACAAACTCACACAGAGACCCACAGACTCACCACACAGAGACCCACAGACTCACTCACACAGAGACCTACAGACTCACACAGAGACCCACAAACTCACACAGAGACCCACAAACTCACTCACACAGAGACCCATAGACTCACTCACACAGAGACTCACAGACTCACTCACACAGAGACCCACAGACTCACCACACAGAGACCCACAGACTCACTCACACAGAGACCCACAGACTCACCACACACAGACCCACAGACTCACCACACAGAGACCCACATACTCACACACAGAGACCCACAGACTCACCACACAGAGACCCACAGACTCACCACACAGAGACCCACAGACTCACCACACAGAGACCCACAGACTCACCACACAGAGACCCACAGACTCACCACACAGAGACCCATAGACTCACACAGAGACCCACAGACTCACTCACACAGAGACCCATAGACTCACTCACACAGAGACCCATAGACTCACTCACACAGAGACCCATAGACTCACTCACACAGAGACCCATAGACTCACTCACACAGAGACCCACATTCTCCCCCGTGTCTCCCCCCGTGTCTCCCCGCCGTGCGTCCCTGCCGCAGCTGCCAACGTGCTGCTGTCGGAGCAGGGCGACGTGAAGCTGGCCGACTTTGGCGTGGCGGGCCAGCTGACGGAGACGCAGGCCAAGCACACGTTCGTGGGCACGCCATTCTGGATGGCCCCCGAGGTCATCAAGCAGGCCGCCTACGACGCTAAGGTGCTCGCCGCTCTGCCGCTCGCCTGCATGTGTGTGTCACTGTGTGTGTGTGTGTCACTGTGTGTGTGTGTGTCACTCTGTGTGTGTGTGTGTCACTCTGTGTGTGTGTGTGTCACTGTGTGTGTGTGTCACTGTGTGTGTGTGTCACTGTGTGTGTGTGTCACTGTGTGTGTGTCACTGTGTGTGTGTGTGTGTCACTGTGTGTGTGTCACTGTGTGTGTGTGTGTGTCACTGTGTGTGTCACTGTGTGTGTGTGTGTGTCACTCTGTGTGTGTGTGTGTCACTCTGTGTGTGTGTGTGTCACTCTGTGTGTGTGTCACTCTGTGTGTGTGTCACTCTGTGTGTGTGTGTGTGTCACTCTGTGTGTGTGTGTGTCACTGTGTGTGTGTGTCACTCTGTGTGTGTGTGTCACTCTGTGTGTGTGTGTCACTCTGTGTGTGTCACTCTGTGTGTGTGTGTGTCACTCTGTGTGTGTGTGTCACTGTGTGTGTGTGTCACTCTGTGTGTGTGTCACTCTGTGTGTCACTCTGTGTGTGTGTCACTCTGTGTGTGTGTGTGTCACTCTGTGTGTGTGTGTCACTCTATGTGTGTGTCACTCTGTGTGTGTGTGTCACTCTGTGTGTGTGTGTCACTCTGTGTGTGTGTGTCACTGTGTGTGTGTGTGTCACTGTGTGTGTGTGTGTGTCACTGTGTGTGTGTGTCACTCTGTGTGTGTGTGTGTGTCACTCTGTGTGTGTGTCACTCTGTGTGTGTGTGTGTCACTCTGTGTGTGTGTCACTCTGTGTGTGTGTCACTCTGTGTGTGTGTCACTCTGTGTGTGTGTCACTCTGTGTGTGTGTCACTCTGTGTGTGTGTGTCACTCTGTGTGTGTGTCACTGTGTGTGTCACTGTGTGTCACTGTGTGTCACTGTGTGTGTCACTGTGTGTCACTGTGTGTGTCACTCTGTGTGTGTCACTCTGTGTGTGTCACTCTGTGTGTGTGTCACTCTGTGTGTGTGTCACTCTGTGTGTGTCACTCTTTGTGTGTCACTCTTTGTGTGTCACTCTTTGTGTGTGTCACTCTGTGTGTGTGTCACTCTGTGTGTGTGTGTCACTCTGTGTGTGTGTCACTCTGTGTGTGTGTCACTCTGTGTGTGTGTCACTCTGTGTGTGTGTCACTCTGTGTGTGTGTCACTCTGTGTGTGTGTCACTCTGTGTGTGTGTCACTCTGTGTGTGTGTCACTCTGTGTGTGTGTCACTCTGTGTGTGTGTCACTCTGTGTGTGTGTCACTCTGTGTGTGTCACCCCCGTGTGTGTGGCACGACGTGTGCCTCCTCCCCGTGTCTCCCCGTGTCTCACCGTGTCTCCCCGTGTCTTCCCGTGTCTCCCCGTGTCTTCCCGTGTCTTCCTGTGTCTCCTCGTGTCTCTCTGTCTTCCCGTGTCTCCCTGTGTCTCCCTGTCTCCTCGTGTCTCTCTGTGTCTCCCCGTGTCTCCCCGTGTCTCCCTGTGTCTCATCGTGTGTCTCTGTGTCTCCCCGTGTCTCCCCGTGTCTCCCCGTGTCTCCCCGTGTCTTCCCGTGTCTCCCCGTGTCTCCCCGTGTCTTCCCGTGTCTCCCTGTGTCTCCTCGTGTCTCTCTGTCTTCCCGTGTCTCCCTGTGTATCCCTGTCTCCTCGTGTCTCTCTGTGTCTCCCCGTGTCTCCCCGTGTCTCCCCGTGTCTCCCTGTGTCTCATCGTGTCTCTCTGTGTCTCTCTGTGTCTCCCCGTGTCTCCCCGTGTCTTCCCGTGTCTCCCCGTGTCTCCCCGTGTCTCCCCGTGTCTTCCCGTGTCTCCCTGTGTCTCCTCTTGTCTCTCTGTCTTCCCGTGTCTCCCTGTGTCTCCCTGTCTCCTCGTGTCTCTCTGTGTCTCTCTGTGTCTCCCCGTGTCTCCCCGTGTCTCCCCCTGTCTCCCCGTGTCTCCCCGTGTCTCTCCCCTGTCTCCCCGTGTCTCCCCCTGTCTCCCCCTGTCTCCCCCTGTCTCCCCGTGTCTCCCCCTGTCTCCCCGTGTCTCCCCCTGTCTCCCCCTGTCTCCCCCTGTCTCCCCCTGTCTCCCCGTGTCTCCCCCTGTCTCCCCGTGTCTCCCCCTGTCTCCCCCTGTCTCCCCCTGTCTCCCCGTGTCTCCCCCTGTCTCCCCGCGTCACGCCCTGTCTCCCCCTGTCTCCCCGTGTCTCCCCGTGTCTCCCCCTGTCTCCCCCTGTCTCCCCGTGTCTCCCCCTGTCTCCCCCTGTCTCCCCCTGTCTCCCCCTGTCTCCCCCTGTCTCCCCGCGTCACGCCCTGTCTCCACGTGTCTCCACGTGTCTCCCCCTGTCTCCACGTGTCTCCCCCTGTCTCCCCGTGTCTCCCCCTGTCTCCACGTGTCTCCCCCTGTCTCCCCCTGTCTCCTCGCGTCACGCCCTGTCTCCACGTGTCTCCCCCGTGTCTCCCCCTGTCTCCCCCCGCCCCGTGTCCCCCAGGCGGACATCTGGTCTCTGGGCATCACGGCGATGGAGCTGGCACAGGGGGAGCCCCCGCACGCCGACCAGCACCCCATGAAGGTGCTCTTCGTGATCCCCACGTGCGAGCCGCCCAGCCTGCAGGGCGGCTACAGCCGCGTGTTCAAGGACTTCACACAGAGCTGCCTCAACAAGGACCCGCAATACGTACGCACGCACGCACGCTTACACACACACACACACGCTTTCACACTTACACACACACACGCTTACACACACACACACGCTTACACACACACACGCTTACACACACACACACGCTTACACACACGCTTACACACACACACACACACGCTTTCACACTTACACACACACACACACACGCTTACACACACACACACACTTACACACACACACACGCTTACACACACACACACACGCTTTCACACTTACACACACACACACTTACACACACACGCTTACACACACGCTTACACACACACACACTTACACACACACGCTTACACACACACACACACGCTTACACACACGCACGCTTACACACACACACACACGCTTTCACACTTACACACGCTTACACACACACACACGCTTACACGCACACACACGCTTACACACGCTTACACACACGCTTACACACACACACACACGCTTACACACACACACACACGCTTACACACACACGCTTACACACACACGCATGCTTACACACACACGCACACGCTTACACACACACACGCTTACACACACGCTTACACACACGCTTACACACACGCACGCACGCTTTCACACACACACACGCTTTCACACACACACACACACACGCTTACACACACACAAACGCTTACACACACACACGCTTACACACACACACACACACGCTTACACACACACACGCACGCTTACACACACACACACACACGCACGCTTACACACACACACACGCTTACACACACACACGCTTACACACGCACGCTTACACACGCACACGCTTACACACACACACACACTTTCACACGCACGCTTACACACACACACACACACGCTTACACACACACACACACGCTTACACACACACACACACGCTTACACACACACACACACGCTTACACACACACACACGCACGCTTACACACACACACACGCTTACACACACACACACACACGCACGCTTACACACACACACACACGCTTACCTGCACACACGCTTACACACACGCACACACGCTTACACACACGCACACACGCTTACACACACACACACGCTTACACACACACACACTTACACACACACACACACGCTTACACACACACACACACACGCTTACACACACACACACGCTTACACACACACGCTTACACACACACGCTTACACACACACACGCTTACACACACACACACACGCTTACACACAGGCACGCACGCTTACACACACGCACACGCACGCTTACACACACACACACACACGCTTACACACACACACACGCTTACACACACATACGCTTACACACACACGCTTACACACACACGCTTACACACACACGCTTACACACACACGCTTACACACACACACGCTTACACACACGCTTACACACACACGCACGCTTACACACGCACACGCTTACACACACACGCACGCTTACACACACACACACGCTTACACACACACACACGCACGCTTACACACACACACGCTTACACACACACACGCTTACACACACACACACGCTTACACACACACATGCACGCTTACACACACACACACACGCACGCTTACACACACACGCACGCTTACACACGCACACGCTTACACACACACACACACGCTTACACACACACACACGCACGCTTACACACACGCTTACACACACGCTTACACACACACAACAACAACAACCGCCATTCGCCCATAAGTGGCGGTGACGTCACCACGACGCTTGTGCCAGGCTATGTGCACCCTGAGGCCACGTGAAGTGTCGAACGCCCGCTGGCAGGAGGTCACGGGGCAGACCCAGGTGCCACGGGTCGACTGACTGAGATGACTGGCTGATGCACCACCTGTGCCCCCTACTGTGCCAACCTGCTGTGCTTTAGCTACCCGGCGCTCCGCTCATTGTTCTGAGCGTCGCTCCTCCGTCCTCCGTTGTTGTTGGAGGGCGACTGCCTCCAACTGCCCAGTAGCATCCTTCACGAGCCTCCTCCACAGAGGCCGATCTTGACACCGCTGGTACCAGTCATCGGCAAGTCCACTCAGCTCCACGTCCTCCTGTACCACATCACTCCATCTCTTCTCTAGCCCGTGCCGCGCCCGCTTAGCCCCCTCGATCCGGCCAAACAAAAGCTGTTTCGGCATGCGGTGGCTGGGCATGCGGGCTACATGACCCAGCCATCGCAGCCTTGCCTGCCGGAGGAGCTCACCGATGGGACCTTGCCCAGATCTTTCAAGGGTTTGTGAGCTCCTCACACAATCCAGCCTGCAGGTTAAACCCAGGATGGATCGTGGGCAGGCCAGCCTAATTGTTTCTAACCGGCGAAGATGCTCCATTAGGGGGGGTCCACGTTTCGCAAGCGTAGAGAAGGGAGGGAATGACCATGGCCGAGAAGACCTGAAGCTTAGTGCGGAGCGACAGACCAGGTAGCTTCCACACAGCGTTACGCAACCGATGAAAAGATATTGCCGCTCGACTGATTCGGAGTGAGACCTCTGCTGTTAAACCGGAGCCGGTCAAGAGCACACTGCCCAGGTATGGGAAACTCTCCACTCTCTCCACAACTGCCCCATCGCCGATTGGGAGTTGTGGGGGTGGAGTGTCCGATGGTACAAAATCCCCATGCAGATACGTATAGATACATTGGCAAAGATCCCCCGCATAGCCTTAATGTACTGTCGGAGCAAGTGCTGCATGCGTCTATCTCTCTGCGTCTGTCTCTCTGTGCTTCTCTCACTGTCTCTGCCTCTCCCTCTGTCCGTGTCCCCGTCTCAGCGGCCGTCTGCTAAGGAGCTCCTGCGTCACCGCTTCCTGGCACAGAAAGCCAAGCGCACGTCATGCCTCACGGAGCTCATCGACCGCTACCGCCGCTGGAGACTCGAAAAGCCTGAGGACAGCTCAGACTCCGAGTGAGGGGTCGCGCGGGGGTCGCGCGGGGGTCACGCGGGGGTCACGCGGGGGTCACGCGGGGGGAGACGCGGGGGGAGACGCGGGGGGAGACGCGGGGGGAGACGCGGGGGGAGACGCGGGGACAACGGGGTGATAGTGGCAGAGATGATCATAATGATTGTGGTGATAGTGGCAGAGATGATCATAATGATTGTGGTGATAGTGGCAGAGATGATCATAATGATTGTGGTGATAGTGGCAGAGATGATCATAATGATTGTGGTGATAGTGGCAGAGATGATCATAATGATTGTGGTGATAGTGGCAGAGATGATCATAATGATTGTGGTGATAGTGGCAGAGATGATCATAATGATTGTGGTGATAGTGGCAGAGATGATCATAATGATGATGATGGTGGCAGAGATGATTATAATGATGATGATGGTGGCAGAGATGATTACAATGATCATAATGATGATGATGGTGGCAGAGATGATCATAATGATGATGATGGTGGCAGAGATGATCATGATGGTGATGGTGGCAGAGATAATTATAATGATGATGATGGTGGCAGAGATGATTATAATGATGATGATGGTGGCAGAGATGATTATAATGATGATGGTGGCAGAGATGATTATAATGATGATGATGATGGTGGCAGAGATGATTATAATGATGTTGATGGTGGCAGAGATTATTATAATGATGTTGATGGTGGCAGAGATGATTATAATGATGATGATGATGATAGTGGCAGAGATGATTATAATGATGTTGATGGTGGCAGAGATTATTATAATGATGATGATGGTGGCAGAGATTATTATAATGATGATGGTGGCAGAGATGATTATAATGATGGTGATGGTGGCAGAGATGATTATAATGATGTTGATGGTGGCAGAGATGATTATAATGATGATGATGGTGGCAGAGATTATTATAATGATGATGGTGGCAGAGATGATTATAATGATGGTGATGGTGGCAGAGATGATTATAATGATGTTGATGGTGGCAGAGATGAATTTAATGATGATGATGGTGGCAGAGATGATTATAATGATGTTGATGTGGCAGAGATGATTATAATGATGTTGATGGTGGCAGAGATGATTATGATGATGATGATGGTGGCAGAGATGATTATAATGATGATGATGGTGGCAGAGATTATTATAATGATGATGATGGTGGCAGAGATTATTATAATGATGATGGTGGCAGAGATGATTATAATGATGGTGATGGTGGCAGAGATGATTATAATGATGTTGATGGTGGCAGAGATGATTATGATGATGATGATGGTGGCAGAGATGATTATAATGATGTTGATGTGGCAGAGATGATTATAATGATGTTGATGGTGGCAGAGATGATTATGATGATGATGATGGTGGCAGAGATGATTATAATGATGATGATGGTGGCAGAGATGATTATAATGATGATGATGATAGTGGCAGAGATGATTATAATGATGTTGATGGTAGCAGAGATGATTATAATGATGATGATGGTGGCAGAGATTATTATAATGATGATGGTGGCAGAGATGATTATAATGATGGTGGCAGAGATGATTATAATGTTGATGGTGGCAGAGATGATTATAATGATGATGATGGTGGCAGAGATGATTATAATGATGTTGATGGTGGCAGAGATGATTATAATGATGTTGATGGTGGCAGAGATGATTATAATGATGATGGTGGCAGAGATGATTATAATGATGATGGTGGCAGAGATGATTATGATGGTGGCAGAGATGATTATAATGATGTTGATGGTGGCAGAGATGATTATAATGATGATGATGGTGGCAGAGATGATTATAATGATGATGGTGGCAGAGATGATTATAATGATGATGGTGGCAGAGATGATTATAATGATGATGATGATGGTGGCAGAGATGATTATAATGATGATTATGGTGGCAGAGGTGATTATAATGATGATGATGGTGGCAGAGATGATTATAATGACGATGATGGTGGCAGAGATGATTATAATGATGATGATGGTGGCAGAGATGATTATAATGATGATGATGGTGGCAGAGATGATCATAATGATGATGATGGTGACAGAGATTATTATAATGATGATGGTGGCAGAGATGATTATAATGATGATGATGGTGGCAGAGATGATCATAATGATGATGATGGTGGCAGAGATGATCATGATGGTGATGGTGGCAGAGATGATCATAATGATGGTGATGGTGGCAGAGATGATTATAATGATGATGATGGTGGGAGAGATGATTATAATGATGATGATGATGGTGGCAGAGATGATTATAATGATGATGATGGTGGTGGCAGAGATGATTATAATGATGATGATGGTGGCAGAGATGATTATAATGATGATGGTGGCAGAGATTATCATAATGATGGTGATGGTGGCAGAGATGATTATAATGATGATGATGGTGGCAGAGATGATTATAATGATGATGATGGTGGCAGAGATGATTATAATGATGATGATGATGGTGGCAGAGATGATTATAATGATGTTGATGGTGGCAGAGATGATAGAATGATGTTGGTCATGGTGGTGATGATGGTGGTGGTGGTGGTAGGGATGATGAGGAGCAGGCCGACGGCTGTGAGGCCGACAAGGCGGAGCCTCCGCACTGGGATGACACGGACGGCAGCGGCGTCGAGAAGATCCTGCCGGCGGAAGACGCGCAGGTCCGCTCAGCCTGAAACATGCACGTGTGTGTGAATGAGTGTGAGAGAGGGTGATTGTGTGTGTGAGGGGGTGGTTGTGTGTGTGAGGGGGTGGTTGTGTGTGTGAGAGGGTGTGAGATCAGCTCAATAACAACGGTAGGAGGCTGCTAGACTTTTGTGCAGCCCATGGGCTTGTAATTACCAACCACGCTGTTCCAGCATCGGCGCATCCACACAACATCATGGATGCATGCCGGGTCCAAGCAAGAACATCTGCTGGACTACATAGTGATGGAATAGCGGATGCGAGCCAATGTCCTTGACACCAGGACCTACCGTGGAGCTGATCTGCCCTCTGACCATCGACTAGTCATCTGTAAGATGCGCCTGCCATTCTTCCACACTGGTGGTGGGTGTACACCCAGGACCCCATTCTGACCTAAAGTGGCCTGGTCTCAGCTAGCTGATGAAAGTTGCGAGGGAGAATTTCATCATCGCTTGCGGCTGGCGTTGGCATCGTCCCCCACTCCTGATGTCGAGGGTAAATGGTCGAGCTTTAGGACTGTGACTAATGTAGCTGCAATGGCTGCTTTGGGTACGCGGTCCAAACCTATCCAGAGACCTTAGCTGACAGAGGAGGTGTTAAAGCTGGCTGAGAAAAAGCGACAGGCCCACTCTCATCGTCTACAGCATTCCACGTCAGAGAATGAGGAGGCTTACCGCAGCCTTCGTTTGGAGTTTCGGAGAGCCGTGAGGCGCTGCAAGGATAGTTGGTGGTCGCGGGTTGCTGAAGAGATTAAATCTGCCTCAGTATCCTGAGATCACAGATTACTCTTTAATTCCATCAAAAAGTAACTTGCAGTGCCACACCTATCACCATCATTAGGGAAAAGAACGGTGATCCAATCTCCGACCCCCAGGAACAGGTTTGCAGATTTGCTGAGCATTTATGTGAGGTCTTAGGGGAGGGGAAATCCCTCAGCCTAGAAAACATCATGGGGCAATGTGGGGATGACCCTGCTGAGGCTGCCGTGCCTCAAATATTGGAAGAAGTCACCCCCTGTGAGTGGCTCACTGAGGTGCCATCTGTTGAGGAAGTACTGAAGGCGATCCGGAGTCTGAGACCAGGAAAGGCACCGGGTAGAGATGATCTCCCAAGCGAGATGCTGAGGGAGGGTGGCGTTTGTGCACAGACTGCCCTATATGACATCATAACAACGGTCTGGACCACTGGACGGGTTCCGCAGGATTGGAAGGATGCCCTGGTGGTCCCCCTCTTTAAGAAGGGGGACTGCAACAGACTGTAACAACTACAGGGGCATCTCACTCCTCAGTATGCCGGGAAAGGTCCTGGCAAGGATTATGCAACACCGATTTGCCAGGCACGCTGAGGAGAGGCTTGCGGAGCCTCAATGTGGTTTCAGGATAGGGCGGTCCTGCGCAGATGCCATATTTTCCGTCCGTCTGCTACATCAAAGGTTTAGGGAATTCCGACAAGACCTACATCTCTGCTTTATTGACCTGGTCAAGGCCTATGATACCATCAGTAGGCCTGGGATCTGGGTTGTTCTTTGTGATTTCGGAGTCCCTGACCCCTGACCCCCGATCATTGATGACCTTCATGATGGTGAGCGGGTCTGGGTTAAACTACGTGGCTGGGAGTCAGAGCCTTTCCCTGTCACCTTGGGGTGCGACAGGGATGTCCTCTGGCTCCCACATTATTTAACAGCTATTTCAATTTCGTAGTTTGTGAAGCCTTCAGTAGCTGTACCAGAGGAATTTACATCTGGTACAGATTTAATGGGAGGCTGAGCGATGCCCAGGTGCAGTCAAGGGATGGCTCCCTATTGGTTAACCATGTAATGTATGCCGATGATCTGGTGATTGCTTCTCACTCAGAAGAGGAGTTGGAGACGCTGCTGTTGAGACTGGAGCATGCCACTAAGAGGTGGGGCCTTACCATCAGCCCCACCAAAACTAAGCACCTGCCTGGGTATTTTGTACCATCGGACACTCCACCCCCACAATTCCCAATTGGTTATGCGGCAGTTGTGGAGAGAGTGGAGAGTTTCCCATATCTGGGCAGTGTGCTCATGACCGGCTCCGGTTTAACAGCTGAGGTCTCACTCCGAATCAGTCGAGCGGTATTATATTTTCATCGGCTGCGTAATGCTGTGTGGTAGCTACCCGGTCTATCACTCCGCACGAAGCTTCAGGTTCTTATTCTTTGGGTGTTTCGGTAAAGTCACGTAGTTAGGTTCAAAGAAAATAACAAAAAACTACGTTTCAATCGCAACACAAGCGGTCCTATCTACGTGACTTTACCAAAAGACCCAAATAATATGAATTCCTGCAATCATGAAAGCTTTAAGTCAAGAAGCTTCAGGTCTTCTCGGCCATGGTCAATCCCCTCGCTTCTCTACGCTTGCGAAACGTGGACACCCCTAATGGAACATCTTGGCCGGTTACAAATATTTAGGCTGGCCTGCCCACGATCCATCCTGGATTTAACCTGCAGGCTGGATTGTGTGAGCTCACAAATCCTTGAAAGATCTGGACACAGTCCCATCGGTGAGTTCTTCCAGCAGGCAAGGCTGCGTTGGCTGGGTCGTCGCTCGCACGCCCAGCCACCGCATGCCCAAACAGCTTCGGTGTGGCTGCATAGAGGGGGCTAAACGGGCGCGGCACGGGCTAGAGAAGAGATGGAATGATGTGGTACAGGAAGACGTGGAGCTGAGTGGACTTGCTGATGACTGGTACCAGCGGTGTCAAGATCGGCCTCTGTGGAGGAAGTTCATGGAGGACGCTGCTGGGTAGTTGGAGGCAGTCGCCCTCCAACAACAATGGAGGGCGGAGGAGCGACACTCACAACAACGAGCGGAGCGCCGGGTGGCTAAAGCACAGCAGGTTGGCACAGTAGGGGGCACAGGTGGGGCATTGGCCAGTCATCTCGGTCATCTCAGTCAGTCGACCGGTGGCACCTGCCTGGGGTCTGTCCTGTGACCTGCCAGCGGGCGGTCGACACTTCACGTGGCCTTAAAGTGCATATAGCCTGGCACAGGTGATGTGGTGACGTCACCGCCACTTAGTGGCAAATGGTGGTTGTTGTTGCTGTTGTGAGTGTGTGTGCTCGCGAACAGCACTTGCCCTAACAGTCTGTTAAGGCTACAAGGTGGACCTTTGCCTTTTTCTTATCTGTGTGATAATTTAGCCTGAAGAAAAACCGGTGGTACGGCAACCAAAGTCTGAGAGTTTGTACAGCCTGCTCACCCCGCTATTCACACAGGTGAGACACACCCACTGTGAACTCAGCAACACAGCCACTGTGAACCCAGCCACACGGCCACTGTGAACCTAGCAGCACGGCCACTGTGAACCCACCCACACGGCCACTGTGAACCCACCCACACGGCCACTGTGAACCCAGCCACACGGCCACTGTGAACCCACCCACACGGCCACTGTGAACCCAGCCACACGGCCACTGTGAACCCACCAACACGGCCACTGTGAACCCACCCACACGGCCACTGTGAACCCACCCACACGGCCACTGTGAACCCAGCCACACGGCCACTGTGAACCCAGCCACACGGCCACTATGAACCCAGCCACACGGCCACTGTGAACCCAGCCACACGGCCACTGTGAACACAGCCACACGGCCGCTGTGAACCCACCCACACGGCCACTGTGAACCCAGCCACACGGCCACTGTGAACCCAGCCACACGGCCACTGTGAACCCACCCACACGGCCACTGTGAACCCAGCCACACGGCCACTGTGAACCCAGCCACACGGCCACTGTGAACCCAGCCACACGGCCACTGTGAACCCAGCCACACGGCCGCTGTGAACACAGCCACACGGCCACTGTGAACCCAGCAACACGGCCACTGTGAACCCAGCCACACGGCCACTGTGAACCCAGCCACACGGCCACTGTGAACCCAGCCACACGGCCACTGTGAACCCAGCCACACGGCCGCTGTGAACCCAGCAACTCTCTCGTGTGCTGTTCCGGCCTTCATAGGTGCTGCTCGCTAACAGCACTTTCCCCAACAGTGTGTTAAGGCTACACGGGCGGTCTTTGTCTTTATGTGTGTGTGGTGGGTGCGTGTGCAGCGTGTGTAATGTGTGTGTGTGGTGCGTGCATGTGTGTAACGTGTGTAACGTGTGTGCGCGTGTAATGTGTGTGTAATGTGTGTGATGCGTGCGTGTGTAACGTGTGTGTGGCGCGTGCGTGTGTGTAACGCGTGTGGTGTGTGCGTGTGTAACGTGTGTGTGGTGCGTGCGTGTGTAACGCGTGGTGTGTGCGGTGTGTAGCTGAGAGACCGGAGGGCACGCACGGGCGAGGCTGTGGGAGCGCTGGAGGAGCTCCTCGTGGCGTTCTCCCTCGCCGAGGAGACGTCCCCGGGGATCGCCGACCGCCTCGTGTCGGCCATCGTGTCCCGCGTTCACAGGTACACACACGGACCCAGGCGCACGGACACAGGCGCATGGACACACACGTACGTACACACACGCACGTACGCACGCACGGATATACACATATGCACGTACACACGTCCAAGTCCACGTACACACGCACGCACGGACACACGTACACGCAACAATGTACGTACACACACATATACGTACACATATGCATGGACACATACGCACGCATGTACACATACACATGTACACGCACGTACGCACGCATGCGTATAGACATGTATGTGTGTGTTGGCACAGTAGGGGGCACAGGTGGTGCATCAGCCAGTCATCTCAGTCATCTCAGTCAGTCGACCCGTGGCACCTGCTGGGTCTGTCCCGTGACCTCCTGCCGTCGGGCGTTCGACACTTCACGTGGCCTCAACGTGCACCTAGCCTGGCACAAGCGCCGTGGTGATGTTACCGCCACTTAGTGACGGATGGTGGTTGTTGTTGTGCGAGTGTAGCGATAGTGTAGCGGTTAGCGCTACGCTGCGCTACGAACCTGGCGACCCGGGTTGATTCCTGCTCACGGCCAACACCAGTGACGATTATTTGAACCGGTCCTGGGCCTCCCCTAGGTCGACTCAGCCTCAAATGAGTACCTGGTGCGGTGTGTAGTAAACATCGCCACTAGGGAGACAAAGGCGGCCGGGCGTGGTGCTGGCCACCCACCCCCTCGTGTACCGTTCCGGCCTTCATAGGTGCTGTTAAGGCTATACGGGGGATCTTTGTTTTTGTCGGTGTGTGTGTACGTGTGTGTGTGTATGTGTATGTAACGTGTGCAGGCACACTCATAAACACACTCACTCATACACACACACACACTCATACACTCACTCATACACACACACATACTCATACACACAACAACAACCGCCATTCGCCACTAAGTGGCGGTGACGTCACCACGACGCTTGTGCCAGGCTATGTGCACCTTGAGGCCACGTGAAGTGTCGAACGCCCGCGGGCAGGAGGTCATGGGGCAGACCCAGGTGCCACGGATCGACTGACTGAGATGACTGGCTGATGCACCACCTGTGCCCCCTACTGTGCCAACCTGCTGTGCTTTAGCCACCCGGCGCTCCGCTCGTTGTTGTGAGCGTCGCTCCTCCGCCCTCCGTTGTTGTTGGAGGGCAACTGCCTCCAACTGCCCAGTAGCGTCCTTCACGAGCCTCCTCCACAGAGGCCGATCTTGACACCGCTGGTACCAGTCATCGGCAAGTCCACTCAGCTCCACGTCCTCCTGTACCACGTCACTCCATCTCTTCTCTAGCCCGTGCTGCGCCCGTTTAGCCCCCTCGATCCGGCCGAACAAAAGCTGTTTCAGCATGCGGTGGCTGGGCATGCGGGCTACATGACCCAGCCAACGCAGCCTTGCCTGCCGGAGGAGCTCACCAATGGGACCTTGCCCAGATCTTTTAAGGATTTGTGAGCTCCTCACAAATCCTCTTTCCTGAAACCGCATTGGGGCTCCACAAGCCTCTCCTTAGCGTGCCTGGCAAGGCGATGTTGAATAATCCTTGCCAGGACCTTTCCCGGCACATTGAGGAGTGAGATGCCCCTGAAGTCGTTACAGTCTGTGCGGTCCCCCTTGTTAAAGAGGGGGACCACCAGGGCATCCTTCCAATCCTGCGGAACCTGTCCAGTGGTCCAGACTGTTGTTATGATGTCATATAGGGCAGACTGTGCACAAACGCCACCCTCCCTCAGCATTTCGCTTGGGAGATCATCTCTGCCCGCTGCCTTTCCTGGTCTCAGACTCCGGATCGCCTTCAATACTTCCTCAGCAGATGGCACCTCAGCCAGCCACTCACAGGGGGTGACTTCTTCCAATATTTGAGGCAACGCAGACTCAGCAGGGTCATCCTCACTTTGTGCCACGATGTTTTCCTGGCTGAGGGATTTTCCCTCCCCCAGGACCTCACAGAAATGCTCAGCAAATCTGCAAACCTGTTCCTGGGGGTCGGAGACTGGATCACCGTTTTTTCCCCTAATGATGGTAATAGGTGTGGCGCTGCAGGTTACTTTTTTGATGGAGTTAAATAGAGATTTGTGATCGCGGGCCACTGAGGCAGACTCCATCTCCTCAGCAACCCGCGACCACCACCCATCCTTGCAGCGCCTCACGGCTCTCCGAACCTCCGAGCGAAGGCTGCGGTAAGCCTCCTCATTCTCTGACGTGGGATTCTGTAGCCGATGACAGTGGGCCTGTCGCTTTTTCTCACCCATCCTGAACACTTCCTCTGTCAGCCAGGGTCTCTGGGGAGGTCTGGACCGCGTACCCAAAGCAGCCAGTCACTCATACACACACTCACTCATACACACACAGTCACTCATACACACACTCACTCGTACACACAGTCACTCAAATACACACACAGTCACTCATACACACACACACTCACACACACAGAGTCACTCAAATACACACACAGTCACTCATACACACACACACTCATACACACAGAGTCACTCAAATACACACACAGTCACTCATACACACACACACACTCATACACACTCACTCATACACACACACTCATACACACACACAGTCACTCAAATACACACACAGTCACTCATATACACACACAGTCACTCAAATACACTCATACACACACGGTCACTCATACACACACACACTCATACACACACAGTCACTCATATACACACACAGACACTCATATACACACACAGACACTCATACACACACACACTCATACACACACACATACACACACACACTCATACACACACACACTCATACACACACACACTCATACACTCACTCATACACACACACACTCATACACACAGAGTCACTCAAATACACACACAGTCACTCATATACACACACAGACACTCATATACACACACACACTCATACACACACACACTCATACACACACACACACTCATACACACACACACACTCATACACACACACATACACACACACACTCATACACACACACACTCATACACACACACACTCATACACACACTCACTCATACACACACACACTCAAATACACACACACACTCAAATACACACACAGTCACTCAAATACACACACAGTCACTCAAATACACACACAGTCACTCATATACACACACAGACACTCATATACACACACACACTCATACACACACGGTCACTCATATACACACACACACAGTCATACACACACAGTCACTCATATACACACACAGTCACTCATATACACACACAGACACTCATATACACACACAGACACTCATACACACACACTCATACACACACCCACACTCATACACACACACAGTCACTCATATACACACACAGTCACTCATATACACACACAGTCACTCATATACACACACAGTCACTCATATACACACACAGACACTCATATACACAGACAGTCACTCATACACACACACTCATACACACACTAACTCACTCACTTATTCTGTCCGCAGTTTTTCTACCAGCGAGCTCCCCCAGGTGACCTCTGCCAACTGAAGGTCACCACGGTCAAGAGGTCGCGACCTGCTGCCCTTCCCTCGTCGCTCCATCACCGTCATCCACCACCCTCGTCGCCTCTTCACCCCTCGTGTACCACCGCCATGTACCCCGTGGTGATGGGGACGTACCCACCCCCGTGTACCCCCACTGTGTCTACCCCCGTGTGTGTCCCCTTGGTGATGGTGACGTACCCACCCCCCGTGTACCCCCGCTGTGTCTACCCCCGTGTGTCTACCCCGTGGTGATGGTGACGTACCCACCCCCCGTGTACCCCCACTGTGTCTACCCCCGTGTGTCTACCCCGTGGTGATGGTGACGTACCCACCCCCCGTGTACCCCCACTGTGTCTACCCCCGTGTGTCTACCCCGTGGTGATGGTGACGTACCCACCCCCCGTGTACCCCCACTGTGTCTACCCCCGTGTGTCTACCCCGTGGTGATGGTGACGTACCCACCCTCCGTGTACCCCCGCTGTGTCTACCCCCGTGTGTGTCCCCTTGGTGATGGTGACGTACCCACCCCCGTGTACCCCCGCTGTGTCTACCCCCGTGTGTGTCCCCGTGGTGATGGTGACGTACCCACCCCCCGTGTACCCCCGCTGTATCTACCCCCGTGTGTCTACCCCGTGGTGATGGTTCACGCTGAGAGACGGAGAGAGAGAGGAACATGTGGGGTATGTCGGGTAGAAACATCATCATCACGTGACAGAGACACCATCGTCATCATCATCACGTGGTAGAGACATCATCACGTGACAGAGACGTCATCATCATCACGTGGCAGAGACATCATCATCATTACGTGGTAGAGACATCATGATCACGTGGTAGAGACATCATCATCATCACGTGGTAGAGACATCATCATCATCACGTGGTAGAGACATCATCATCATCACGTGGTAGAGACATCATCATCATCACGTGGTAGAGACATCATCATCATCACGTGGTAGAGACATCATCATCATCACGTGGTAGAGACCTCATCATCATCACGTGGTAGAGACATCATCATCATCATCACGTGGTAGAGACATCATCATCATCATGACGTGGTAGAGACATCATCATCATCATCATCACGTGGTAGAGACATCATCATCATCACGTGGTAGAGACATCATCACGTGGTAGAGACAACATCATCATCACGTGGTAGAGACATCATCATCATCACGTGGTAGAGACATCATCATCACGTGGTAGAGACATCATCATCATCACGTGGTAGAGATGTCATCATCACGTGGTAGAGACATCACATTTATGATGATGATGATGTCTCTATCCCACGTGTATCCCACATCTCCCCCCCCCCCCCAACTGTGTCTCAGTGCAATCATTACCGTGGTCTATCCGCTGCTGGATGGGGATCAACGATGACGTCTTTATCCCACGCACACGCACCCCAAAGTACAATCACCACCACGCTCTCTCTCTCTCTCTCCGCCGCTGTATGGCAGCGGAGAGAGAGACCATGGTGGTGATTGTAGCCGCAGCGGTGCTACAATCACCACCACGCTCTCTCTCTCTCTCTCTCCGCCGCTGTATGGCAGCGGCGGCTTTTGGATAACCGTCAGACGAAGGTGGTGGCCGGCGGATCGGCATCGCGCGGCGCTTCTGCGGCCGTCTGGAACGCTCTCTTCCTATATGAGGCAGCCATTGGGCGCTCCGATGCACTTTTAAATTGTGATTTAGAGCTGCTGTTTGTGTTTGGTTTGTTATCCCCCCCCCACGCACCTTCGATTAGCAGCGGTTTGCTACGCACTGTGCAAAAAAGTTCAACGTACATATGAGTGTGGGTCTCTGTGGGTCTCTATGGTTATATGCGAGTCTGTGGGTCTCTGTGGGTCTCTATGGTTATACGTGAGTCTGTGGGTCTCTGTGGTTATACGTGAGTCTGTGGGTCTCTATGGTTATATGTGAGTCTGTGGGTCTCTGTAGGGTCTCTGTGGGTCTCTGTAGGTTTCTGTGGGTCTCTGTGGGTCTCTGTGGGTCTCTGTAGGTCTCTGTGGGTCTCTATGGTTATATGTGAGTCTGTGGGTCTCTATGGTTATATGTGAGTCTGTGGGTCTCTGTAGGGTCTCTGTGGGTCTCTGTGGTTATACGTGAGTCTGTGGGTCTCTATGGTTATATGTGAGTCTATGGGTCTCTGTGGGTCTCTGTAGGTCTCTGTGGGTCTCTGTGGGTCTCTGTGGGTCTCTTCCTTCCGGTATTTGGAAGCCACTTGGAGCTACACTGCACTTTTAAATTATCATCTCGATTGACAAACTCATTTCTGTAGAACTGCTTCTTGTCGTTGCATCCTTTGTTGCCCTTCTCCGTACCTCCATGCTGCCATTGCAACGACGATTATGCGGTTGCAGGCAACCGGGGTGTGCAACCGGTTTAGTTGCACGCAACCGATTTGCTTAAATTTCGATTGAAAGCGTTCGTGACTGCAGGGATTCATATTCTCGGTTCTTTCGGTGAAGTCACTTTAGGTGGGAAATAATTAAATAATAAAATTTAAACCTATATTCATATTCTTAGTTCTTTCGGTAAAGTCACGTTGAAGGGAAACAACAAAATAATAAAATATATATAAAACAATAAAAATTCTCACGACGTTTCGACCGTAACACAAACGGTTGCCTTCAGGTGTGTTGGTTTGCATAAATTGATTTATTTTTATAAATAAATAAACAAATACACCGTTTAAAAAATAAATAAATTTATGCAAACCAACACACCTGAAGGCGACCGTGTGGTCGAAACGTCGTGAGAATTTTTTTTATTGTTTTATATATATATTTTATTATTTTGTTGTTTCCCTTCAACGTGACTTTGCCGAAAGAACTAACATTATGAATTACTGCAGTCACGAAAGCTTTAAATAAAAAAAATAAAACTATTAAATTCTCACGACGTTTCGGCCACAATGCAAGCAGCAGTCGTCCTCGGGTGAAGGAGCAGAACTGTCGGCAAGACGGCGTCCTAATGAACACCGCTAAGCTTGGCAGCGTCTTTTAAGCTGGGGGGGGGGTGGAGGAGCAGAGAGCCTTGACCAAGGAGTCTACATATCAACAGAAGGATTTAGCATATTGATGACAGATGCAGATGTGGGGTTAGTCACTCCACAAGGAGTTTTAAAAAGACGCTGCCAAGCTTGGCGGTGTCCATTTGGAGCGCCGTCTTTCCGACAGCTCAGTTTCTTCACCTGAGGAAGGCTGCTTGCGTTGTGGCCGAAACGTCGTGAGAATTTTATTCTATTCTATTGTTTTATTTCCCTTCTCTTAAAGTGACTTTACCGAGAGGACCAAGAATATAACCGATTCGCTTGCACGCAACAGAGTTGAGTAACCGATCCGGGTTGCGGGCGACCGGATTGGTGCCACCGATTTAGTTGCACGCAACCGATCTTCTTGCGCCCAACAGAGCCAAATAACCGATTCGGTTGCATGCAACTGATCTGCTTGCGAGCAACGAGAGTCGAATAACCGATTCGGTTGCGGGCGACTGAGTTGCAAGCAACCGATTTAGCTTTCAACGCGAGCCGATTTTTGGTTGGATGCAACCGGATTTAGTTGCACGCAACCGGATTTAGTTGCACGCAACTGATCGGTTTGCGATGTTGACGACGACGACGATGATGTTGCCATCACCGAGTTGGCGTCGTCTGCGTGTGTTTTTACACAAACTCTCTTCTGTGTATTTGTAACGCCGAATAATAATAAAAACCTACATCGCTTCCCTTAACGTGCGCGCCTGTGCGTGTGTGCCTGTGCCTGCGTGTGCCTGTGTGTGTGTGTGTGCGTGCCTGTGCGTGTCTGCGTGTGCCTGTGTGTCTGTGTGTGTGTGTGCGTGCCTGTGCGTGTCTGCGTGTGCCTGTGTGTGCCTGCGTGTGCCTGTGTGTGTGTGTGCGTGCCTGTGCGTGTCTGTGTGTGCCTGTGTGTGCCTGTGTGTCTGTGTGTGTGTGCGTGCCTGTGCGTGTCTGCGTGTGCCTGTGTGTGCCTGCGTGTGCCTGTGTGTGTGTGTGCGTGCCTGTGCGTGTCTGTGTGTGCCTGCGTGTGCCTGCGTGTGCCTGTGTGTCTGTGTGTGTGTGTGCGTGCCTGTGCGTGTCTGTGTGTGCCTGCGCGTGTCTGTGTGTGTCTGCGTATGCCTGCGTGTGCCTGTGTGTCTGTGTGTGTGTGTGTGCGTGCCTGTGCGTGTCTGTGTGTGCCTGCGCGTGTATGTGTGTGTCTGCGTGTGCCTGCGTGTGCCTGTGTGTCTGTGTGTGTGTGTGCGTGCCTGTGCGTGTCTGTGTGTGCCTGCGTGTGCTTGCGTGTCTGTGTGTGCCTGCGTGTCTGTGTGTGCCTGTGTGTGCCTGCCTGCGTGTGCCTGTGTGTGCCTGCGTGTCTGTGTGTGTGTGTATGCCTGTGCGTGTCTGTGTGTGCCTGCCTGTGGTGGTGGTGGTGGTGGCGGCTGTGGTGGTTGAACAGTGTCGAGGTGGTTGTGGTGGTTGTTGAACGCAGTTTTGTTGCGACTTCTCTGATCACAAGGGTTCTGGTCAACTAGCCGATTAAATTACTTGATAGGAGCAGCAATGGGCCCTCCTTTGTCGCCTGTGATTGCGAATTTGTCCATGGAAGATTTTGAAGCCAAAGCAATAACTGCAAGCACACTAAACCCCTCTGCTTGGTTTAGATATGTGGATGACACATTTGTGGTCTGGCCACACGGCAAAGATACACTTAACAAATCTACAAATCATCTCGACTCGTAAAATCCATCCATCCATCCAGTTCATCATGGAGGTGGAAATTAACAGCACCCTCCCATTTCTGGATGCTCTGCTCTGCTCGGGCGTGGCCAAAATGGCGAAATAACTTTACCAAAGGAAAATGCATAACTGACGCCTCCTCTGAAATGCAGAGTCACACCATCACCCTGCACAGAAATAATCTCTCATCAAAAGACGCTCGTACATCGGTTTAAGAAAGTGTGAGATGGTGATTGTCTGAGAAGTGAAATTAAACACGTTAAAGAAGCGCTGCAATTGGACGGTTACAATGATGCACAAATCAACTGGGCACCGAATACCAAAACCAAATCAAATAACACGACCATTGAAACTGACCAAGTAATTTAAGCTATTAGATTATCATACATTGCAGGAGTAACTGATAATCTTGCAAAATTTTGGGGGAAAACTAAACATCTGAGTCAGAGTTGGCACGGCACATAAAATACAGAAACTAATATCTGGTACTAAAGATGTATTTCCAAAGCTATCAGAAGAAGGTGTGTTATCGGATACATTGTTCTCGTGGCAAATGCTATGTTGGGCAAACAGGACGAATGATCAGCACGAGACTAAGAACACAAAAGAAATATTAAATACTCCCTCATATAACTGTCGGCAATAGCAGAGCACCCGGGCCAACAAGGACACTCAATTGATTTTGATAACGTTGAAGTTCTGTGCAAAACTAGTTGCCAAGACTAATTAGAGAATCTATAGAAAATTGAAAGAAATAAAAATAATTTCATTCGGATAGCCACAGGTAAAGTGTTGCTTGGAAGTGAATCGTCAAATAAAACATTGTTTAAACGCATGCCTATGTAGTGGAGTACGAAGGTGCGTGGTGGAGGCGACGTGATTGCATGATCACACAGACAGTACGGGTTATCTTGGGTCAGCCTGTAGCGAAGGCAAAAACAGTGCAGGTTATGTTGGGACAGCCAGGTGCAAGGGGCTGGGATGATGAGGTAACGGTTGGGCCAATTAAGCCAGAGGACCAGCAACG